AAAAAAAAAAATGAAAAGAGAAAAAAGGAAGGGTGAAGGGAGAGGGAGAAGGAGGGGGGTCAGCAGTGAGCATGGGGCAAAATTCAAAAACTTTATTTCGGGGAATGTGTCAAGATCACAATGAAGTATAACCGTGTGTCTGCTGGACCACGGAAATGGGAAATAATTCTGTGTCAATTTCTGGATTCAGACAAACGGGCATTAAGATCCTGACTTTATTACCCAGCACTGCTCTGTGACTGAGTCATGTCCTCAGTCTTTCTCCTTAAGCATCCAGGCTGGCAAATGTGCTACTTATAGTGCCCCCCTCATAAGGCTGATATTTTAGTAAAAGAGAAAACTCGTGTAAACAGTTAACGTCATATTAGAGCAGCAAAGGTGGAAACTGACATTTTTTTCCACTGCCCCGAGATGGAACCCGTGGCGGGAAATGACCGCAGCCCTGGGCCGCGGGGTCTCGCACCTGGATGCGGCGTTCCTGCTTCTCCCTGCTGTGCTCCAGGCCGGCCAGGGTGCCCTCCAGCTTCCGCAGCTCCTCCTGCACTTGGCCGGGCAGCCCACCTTCTCCCTGCCCAGCCTGTGCCATCTGCTGCCGCACGTCCCTCTTCTTTGCGGAGATCCCCTTGGTCTTTTGCTGGAAGCATTTGTTCAACAGGTGGACATAAACGTTACTCAGTAAGGGGCTAAGCAGGGACATAAACACCCATGCAGCCTGGGCCCAAACTGTATTTTAAGGTCAACTTCAACAGTTAAAACAGCAATGAGGACTGTGCGTTACTCAAAAATGCACATTATTTATAAATATTTTGTGTTTTTAATGGTAAGCAACATAATTAATTTGGTCTTGGTGTTTTAATTTGTGTGCAAATTCAGACAACAGTTAGCATGTTGTGCAATACTCCAGAAGGAATTTGGCAAAACTATTCATTTGACAAGATTCTCCTAAAGTAATTATTTTCTGCTTAAATACACAAAGTCCTAACTCCATTTTTAAAAGCTACTTATGCTCTAAAAACATGCTAATATTAAGAAACTTAATTCCTGGGAATATTCAGAATGATTAATCTGCCGAGATATCTGGGGAAAGTCATGTTTTAAAATAAACTTTTTATTGAATTATAATGTACAAACAGAACGGTATGCCAATCTCAAGCGTACGGCTCATGAATTTTCACAAATAAACACACACATAACCAAGCACCTGACCCAAGAAATGTGAAGTTTTAAAACACTAATGTAAATATTTATAATCTCATATTTCTCTGAATTAAACTGAAACCCAAGCATGACTTTTATAATAATTGAGAACAAAGTAACACCAAGTATTAACTTTTTTGTACCCATAGCCTTTTTATAATTATAAGTACATCTATAAAGTCTAGAAGCTGCCATTTTATGTATACTTTTAGTGTAACTTCCAGTTTATATATTACTATATATAATTAGCTAGCATTTGCTATGCATTAAGCTAGAATTTTGTCATTAAAATATTTTATTTGAATTAAACTCCCACTTATATTGAGTTTGACAAGCGAAACTGAATAAAATTGCTTTTTATCAATATATGGGCCAGAATTTCTTTACTTCCAGTTTAATATAAGCATACTCTCCTGAAAAGTCTGGTACTTCGTGTAAGTTATAATTCCCCAAACTAAGATATATTCAAAATTATAAATTGAAAAGTGAGGTTTCTAGATAGTGGAAACAGAACATTGACCTCAAATATGAAGCAAATATCTCCAGGCTCCAGTTTCTGTTTTGAAACAGACAATTTGCGAGTTTCATGAAGGTTTTCACAGCTGAACCAACTCTCCCTTCACAATATTTTCTCGTCTTTTTGATACCATCAAGTCATACAGGCTGAGAATCTATCATACAGAATCTTTGAAAGAGTTAATCTTAACAGAGAGAGCAGAAGCGCTGGGTTCTTTGACCCATTCGCGGGGCTGCTTCCCGCAAGCCCCCTCCCGCCCGTCCTTCGCCCTCAGCCGGTGCACATGCTGCCCCTTTCTCGGGCCCTGGCAGCAGCCAGCTAGTGAGCTGCATGTGCCCTGGGTAAAGAGGCATTTACCTGGCAACGAAGGAGGAGCTGCTGCGCTTCAAACAGGCTCTCGGCGTCCAGGATCTCCTCAGCTTGCTCCTCGGCGTCCTTAGAACCAGAAATTAACTCTTCCAGGGAACTCTTGACTATTTCTTTGTACTGGACACAGTCCCCAAAATCGGTTAACATCTTTTCAACCTAGGTTTCCATGAAAAAATTGTAAGCCATATGCTCTATTCTACTTTACATTATCTTCCACGCACAACCCATTAGACTTGTACGACCACCCGGTGAGTGAAAGTATCCTCGCCGAGGGTGGAAGTGGCCCTATTGGAAATGAAGAAGAAGGTTTGTATATTCTAATCTATAAAGGAATATAAACATTGAGGTGTATATCAAGAAGTTTAAAATGAGTGGATCTTGCCTAAAAGAGACTTTACTGGGCTGCAGGCTAAACACTGAATATTTTATTACTAGGCTTTAGTGATAGCATTTACTCTGTTCTAGGCATTGTATTAAGTGCTTTATATACATTATTGCATTCAATTCTTGACATCACTTTTTGGCATATTTTTAGCTCTGTTTAACAAGTAAGAAAAACAAGGCCCCAGAGAAATTAAATGACAAGCTCAAGGTTCATAATGACAAGCTCAAGGTTATATATGTAGTGGGGTACCAGAGTTACACTCTAACTCTGAGTTTGTTTGACTCTCAAGCCTGAGGGTTTAACCACTGTGATGTTCCTTAAACTGACTATGAAGTAATGCTTTTATAAGAGTAAAACAGTATGGATCTGATAAGCTTTGTACTTCAGCTACAGATCCTTACTCTGAAGTAACATATCCAATAATGGCACAGACCATAATTCAAACATCCTACTCACCTTTCCCACCAATATTCATATAAATAAATATCAACTATTCTATTTCAACTAAGATTTCTTTATAAACGTACTTGTTCAACTACGACCAAAAGAGAAAGGACCTCCCAGATTCCTCACCCAGAGTGACTAAGTGATATACCTCTGACAGCAAAGTTGTGAGAGCCTTGAAGGACCCAGACAATTTTGCCAGCTCATCTCCCTGCTTTTGGGCTTCTTTCTCAGATGAAACTTCAAGCAAGACTTTAAGCCTGGATTTCAGCCAGCTGAGAGTTTCCCCTTTTTGGGTAACTCCATTTCTTATCTCCTGGAATGGAAGAACACTTTTGATGAACAAAATACAATTGTGAACCATAACTTTCCAGCAAGAAAGGATTCCACCTAAGAAGGTATGTGAGGTGTAGGTAGGAATGGCAGACATTCACTCCCCAGTGGAGTGCTGTGTATTTCACTTTGTTCAGGTCTGTAACAAAAATCTACAGTTGTGAGAAAGAAATGTTTCTTCAATGCCAATACCTTATGTGTAAAGTCAGTACTCTCTATACCAAAAAATTCCTTCATAATTACACGGTTAGCTATTTAAAGATTCCCTGGATCACAACAAAGACACTCCTAAAAGTACTGTAGAAGAACATGTGATGCCAAAACTGGGAATTATAACATACAATGTACTTTGTTACCTTACTTTCTGTGAGCTGGAAGGAACCTGGTATTTTTTGAAGAAAAGAATCCTTTTTTTAGTTAGCTGATTCTTTTATTGAAGAGTTTACTTGTTGAATATTATTAAAGATAACATAAAGATTTATTTTAACTTTATTAACTAATATTTCATGCTTCATTTTTGTTAACTTTTAGAAGTCAGTTCCCCAGATAGTAAGATACACAAACAGGATCACAATTCTAATCCCGGAAGGGAAAGTTAATTGGCCAAGACAATGCCAGAAAGACTCCGGGGCCTCAGCACTTGTAGGGCAGGGGACCCAGGGAAGAGTGATTCGGGCGGACTCTCCCTCTGACACCGGCTCTGTGTAGCACGAGGGCAGGCTGGTCTCCAACCATGCGCTTTGCTCCAGAGGGTCTTACACAGGGCAAACGCACGCCAGCCGGAAAATGGTTGGTTCCAGAAACAAGTGATCTCTTCCTTCTACAGCGATAATTTTTTTCTACTATAATAGTAACCAGCAGTAAATACAGAACAAAAGTAGGTTTACAGTTGTGAGTACATGAAACTGTTAATAAAACTAGTGTAATAATCATAACCTGCATGTCTTTTCCATACAAACAACTGTAAATCTACTTCTGCCCCATGCTGTATGGATACCCTTCCATTGGTAAAGCATGATATTATTTAGCACCTCTAGCATTTAAGGGGATTATAATTTTAATATAAAAAAAATGAAACTTAGAGGATAGAAAAAGGAAAAAAATATTCTCATTAACAGCAACTATGTGACTTGCAAGGGTTCGAAACACTGAATAATAAAGAATTTTCACAATAGCAACAAGTGTCTGTAATGCTAAGAGCCAAGATAAGAGGGAGAGGATTGCTGGGTGCCATTCATAGAATGCAAACTGGTTCAGATATGAGGCTTTGTCACGACTGGGTTATCAGGCTGTCCCCAAGTTCATGGGGCTGATCCAATCCAGGCTAAATAGGACATAGCAAGAACGCTTAGAGATCTTGCCCAAACCCCTCATTTTCTGTGACTTGGTTTTTGAATGGCTGAAATGCATTGTATAAAAAACCTACAGCGCTCTTGTTTTCCGTGACAGTTCTTAACTCTCTGCTGTGTTATACACCCACGCACGCGATTTTCCTCCCAGGGTTCCCCATTCTCCAGAGATGTATTTAAGGCACCACTGAGCATGACTCAGTCTCAAAGCCAACAATGATTCAATAGAATAAATCCCTATAGTTCTCACAAGGAGACTTATTTTTAATTTTCAGGAACTTAATTTTTCATAGAAAGTAAAGAAGACATCAGTTAGATTGTCTATCATTTTTTTGATTAATGGAAATTCTCCAGTAGCAAAAAATGCCCCGGGACTCACCGCTACAACCCGTGTCACCTCCCCGTGGTTGGCAGCATCGATGGTCTCGTCCTTAATCCCTTTCAGTTGTGTCTCCTTTGCAGAGATCCATGATGAGAGCTCAGAAACTCTGAAATAACACAGGTCTTATCTTACTAAAGGCAGAGCATATCAGGATGGTTACAATACACTTTCTAGACGAATTCTTCATGGAAACTCAACACTCATGTGATGAGCAAACCGCTTAACAAATTTCCTGGAAACTGTTCCTTAAAGAAATAGGAAGCTCAGGGCAGGCGGGGCCACCTCTGTGCTCAGGAACTTGGGGGGAAGCCACAGCAGAGCAGGCAGAGCTCAGCTGAGGAAAGGGATGTGTCTATGCCCGGGCCTAAGCACCTGGGTGTGAGGACTGGCCTTACATGTCCCCACCCGAGTGAGACATAACCCTAAAAAGTCAGAAGTCCCCTTTGGGGATATGTGGCAATACAAGACAAAGAGATGAGCCAAAGAGATCACATCTGAGTCACCGGTTTTGACTGAAAACCATTTTTTAAATTGAATGAAGCGTTTTTATATAAGCACGTGAGCAACATCACACAATCTGATGTTTCTTCATTGCACAGGATGAGCCATATGTCATTTCTTGTTTCGTAATCATCTTTGAATGAACAGAATTAAGATAGACCATGTCCTCATCTGGGAGCAAGCCCAGGGCTACCTGCCGGCATAGTCCTTCCACTTGTCGGGGTCCTCCACCAGCTTCGCGTAGGTGGCCTCCACGGCAGCTCGGAGCTCTCGCAGAGTCGCCTGGCAGGTTGCAGGTGTGTCCCGGACTGGGTCCCGGACTGGGAGCTTCAGACACAGCTCCTCAATGAGCTGCAGCCTTTTCTCACAGAGGTGATGCGGCCCTTTGTCACTGAAGAAGATCTAACGAGCAATAAACATAGATATAATCCCTGTGAGAAGCCATGCAATATTTTCATATTTTCACAGAAAAGAACAAAGGAAGATTCCATTTAGACTATCGGTGTAGAGTAATTAAGCTATTTAGTGTTTCCAGATCCAAACCAAAGCATTGGTGACTGCACTGGGGGAGGGGGGGTGGCCTACCCTGTGCTCCTTGATCATCTTCTCACTGCCTTCCTGGGGCGCCAGCGCGGTCTCGCGGTCCAGCTCAGCTCTGCACTCTTCTATGCAGCCCAGAAACTTTCTCTTTTCCACCTCGATCTTCAGATGAAGCAAATGATATGGGGCTTCTCCTTGAAGATCCTACAGTCCACAGGATGATTGGGGAAAACATGACACCATTACCAATTAGGTCCCTTTCCAACTAAAGTGACAAAGCCCATAGAACATTCCCTTTAGGGCCAACTGGTACCATCAGTTCAGTCTGCACCCAGCCTCTGAGCTCTGTACTTTTCCAAGTACTGGGACCACAGCGGATCCTTTCATCCCACAGTGGGTAGCTGGGATTATTCTATTTCACTTTTACAATGGCCCATGCGGTATTAATGTTCCCATTCTCAAGATTAGACCATTGAGGCCTAGGAGCAAGTAGAAAAAGGTAGGCTTGACTCTAGATTTAAATCACAATCCAGTGCCCTATACCCTCCCCTGGCATGTATCCCTTTTGGGTTTGTCAACAACCCTACGAGATGGGAAGGACAGATGTTATACCCGAAACACAAAGGGCGGAAGCAAGGAACCCTTAGTGGGTTTAGTTATTGGAAGAAATATTGTTTCACCCTCACCCCCACCCCCAGATCTTTGCTTCTTAAAGTCCTAGCTTAGGACTGATCACTTGATTTGCTTGTTTTTGGTTTCCAAGCAGGCCCTCCTCTCTCCTTCAAAGTTCTCCTAAATACACTGCTTGTACTTTTCCGGACCAATTATATATTATACTTTTATTATTTGTGACTAATAATCTTTCTTATCAGACTCTAAGCTCCTTGGGGAAAATAATTATGTTTAGCTCATCATTGAATTCTTAACCAATAAATGTTTTTATTTATATTTTTACATCATACTATTCTCACCCAGATGATAAAATCCTTGAGAACAGCAAATGTTTATGTGTATAAATTATGTTAGGTAAAATTCTAGTAATATACCTAGCAGTATTTACTGAGATGAGAAGAGCTCACTAAATGTTGCTGAAAAAGTTAAACACCCATATTATTCCTGCTCAAAAAAAAAATAAAATCAGGAAAGAAAAAGTGCACTCTTAAGTAATATGATAATAAAGTGCTGTTACTAAAAATAGGAATAACAAAATTTATCATTTCATCATGTTCTATGCAAGTTCTTTCTTTTTTTAATGGGAGGAGTTCCTGTGACTTTCCTGAATCTCTGAGTTTCTCAAGCAGTTGAACCTTAGCACCCTCATGCTCTCTCCCATCACCCACGACTCCATGTCCCCATCATGTCCCCACTCACCTTCCACTGCTTGTGGAGCTTCCTGACCGCCTCCTGCAGGCCCTGCTGCTCCTGCTCAGGCAGGATGTCGGTGAGCTCGTCGCAGGCTTTCAGGAAAGCGTTGAGCACCCGCTGGTCCAGCTGACTGTAGAACTCCTGACGCAACACGGAGAGGGAGGGAGGGGTTCAGGGTGCGGGAAGAATCACAGCGGCATCGGACGCTGTGTCATAAGCAAGCGGTCACCCCTCTGAGCGAGCTCTTAGCCAGCTGCTGCCCTCTCCAAACCTCCTGTAACTACTGTTGCTGTGCGTGTGTCTTTCAGAAGCGAACTATAATCACCTAGAGTTATGACTCAGGGGCCACCCACAAATAACATTCAATGAATACTTTTTAATTTTTAGAAAAAAAATATTTGCCGTTTTCAAATACGGTAGAATATTCTAGAAGGCCATGGGAGATCCTAACCCCTGGATTCCACAATGACAGGGATCAACTCACAGTGTGTCGCCTCAGGAGGTCTTCGGGATCCCCCTTCTCCTCCAGGCCCTCCTGCGCCATCCGGAGCACCTTCTCCAGCTCTGCCCGGGACTCCTCAAATTTCTCCATCAAGCGGCTGTTGGTTTCCACGTGTTTCTTCCAGTCTCCAGTTTTCTTTACCATATTCTTGATTTATAAAAATAATCATAATGGGATGCTTTCTCATTATTTAAAGTAACATATTCTTAAGGAATATTGTGTCTTTAAAAAGCATTTGGAAGGAATACATGTCATTATAATGAGAGTAATCGACCCCCTTTATTATTAATGACGATTAATATTAGAGAAAGAAGTAAAATCTTGGTTTCCAAACACCAGCAGTGAGGCATTTAGCAGGAGTGGAAGCCTGATGTGCAGTGGCTCTGTTCTTTGCATTGTCCCTCGCTCACGGTCCTAACGCAGGGAAGAAACGTACCTGAAAGGCAACTTGAACCTCTGCTGTCTGTCTCAGCAGCTTCGTCTGATCAAAATGCTTCAACACGTGGCTCAAGGTCACAAACTTCTGAACGTTTTGACTGCCTTTCTCAATTTGCGCCATGGTTTTCTTACAGCTTTCCTGACAAGCCAGCAGTTCCTACAAGGGAAGGAAACACACAATAGAATTTAAAAGGGCGAGAAAGAGAAAGAAAGTAACGACTGCAAAATAATAACAGCATTATACAGCTTTTAGGCTTTTAATCGGCAATAAACAAAATCCAAAGCAGAGGTATTTTTTTTCAAGAATTTTAAACAGTCATTGTAGTCAGGGCTTTTTAAGTTTTTTGAGATTTTTTTCTTAATATTCCATGCCCATCTTATTAAGAGAATGACAGAGCGTCAGAATTGTTATTTGCCTGGTGCCTGCATTTCTCCAACCAACTAATGTGGTTTACTGCATGAAGAACAATGAAATCAACCGACAGAGCAGGTTTTAATCTAAGTAAGTTTAGCACCAATGCACTTTATACTTCACTGAGTCAGACGCAGAGCATTATATAGTATTTGTGTAAATTGTGTAGACACCATTTGAATTCTAAGGCTCACAAGCTATCAGCCTCATTGATAAAACGGTGGACCCCAGATCCTAACCCCAAGAGGCAGCAGACAGTGGGCTCGGGACGGCTCACAACTGACACAGATCTGCAGGACAAGAAGCCATATGGCAGAGGCCCTTCCACTTCTGATCCCTGCCCAGGCATCACAGTGATTCCTGCAGCGGACAGCATGGAAATGATCCAGCCCAGCCCAAGGCAGACAGTCACTTTCTGATTTGAATCCACACCATTTGCATTTTGATACCCTCAAGTTGCTTTGGAAAAATATTTTAAAAGGCTCACTTGGATGCTAGTTTTGGTAATCTAGGTTCAAATACTAAGAGGAGAATTTTTGTTTTGCTTTGGCAAGATGGAATAAAGACATACTTTTTCCTCTGGAAGATTTAGGAGGTAAAAGAGTAACAGAGATATGGTTAAATATTATTATTATTAAATATTAAATATTTTCATTGCGGAAGGATTCTTTGATGGGAATTTATAGCAATCTGGGAATGTAGGAAATGGCACTATGACTCAAAATGGAAAATAATCTTTATCCAATATAAGAACCCATTAAAATAGGGTTTGGTGACATAATCACTGTCTCTTTACAATTAACAATAATAATAATAATAATAATAATAATAATTGCTAGCAGTTACAGAGTATATACATATATATATTATGTGCTAGTCTGATTATAGAGTACCTAATGTTACCTCCACAACAAGCTCTCAACTTAGGTTTTTTAAGGTGAGGAAATAAAAGCTAATCAAGGCTCTGTAATTTGCTTTATCAGATCTAAGACCTGAATACCTGTCCAACTCATGTCAGATACTCTCTGCTCTTTACCAGGCAATGCTGCCTCCCTTCCATGAACCTATTTCAGTTAATGCAGTGGCGAATCTCTCGCTCATTAGTTTCACCCTCCTCTGATGGATCGTTCATTTCTAATAAACCAACTAAGCCAATTAACTGAAACACTCAGCAGGAGGCTTTCTGCATTCAGATCTGCTCACTGAAAATGAGACAAATAAAAATGATTATCACTCCAAGCACACTTCCAGAATTTCACGGTTGTGTAGAGACCTAGTCCTAGAGGCAAAGAAAAAAATCTCACAAAACACAGATTATAAACACTGGATAGAAATGGATTGCAATTATCTATTTTTTATATATATCTAAATATATAAAATTCAAAAGTTATCTATAAAATCATGCTCATGTAAATAATTTTTATTTTATCTCTAGTGGACAGGGTTTGTACCTTTGGACAAGCCGTATTTTGTTTAGAGTTGGCAGTACTAGTCTAGAAAAATGTTTCTTGTCTTAACTGGATTTCTATCACTTTAAGTAATACATCAATCTTATTACCTGCCTTGAAATAACTGTGTCTCCTGAAAGGGACCTTTTTTTACCTGATGTTTTTGTTTAAAAAGAGCACTAGATTGCGCCTCGTGCTCAAGAACTGTTATAATTTCACTGATTTTGCCAAGTGAGTCATAGAAGGACGTCATCTGCTTTTCCAGTTCCTCCAGAGGTGTTGACAGCTGCTGAGACTCATAGAGGAGCGGGGAGTAACGTTCTTTGACCTTTGAAAACACAAAGACAAAGATTCTGTTAAAAGCCATTGAGAGCCACCAGCTGAGGGCACGGCTCACGGCTCCTAGGAACAATTTCTTCGTGATGTGGTCATTTTGTGCTCATGGATCTCCAAAGACAGCTGTTTCACGATATTTCCCATGTATCACTCAATTTTTATATATAAAACGATATTACTATACCAGTGAGATACATAAATGCCATGGAGTGTTCTCATGAAAATGTATCTCAATCGTCCATCTCAACTGCAGTTTCCCGTATAAACGACGCGGTTAGTGACCCAGACGGCATCAAATCACTCTTCATAAACTGTGCGACCCACCTTCACTTCAGCCTCAAAACCTGCCCTAAGATAGCCATGAATTACATTATCTAGGCTAACCTATGTCTTCCAACTTTATGTTCAAGAGCGCTGCTACTTGAACTCGTAACTCCAGACAAACTTACAAACTTGACCCCTCCTTCCCAGACAGGCCCTGTGCTCTCCTACCTCCCCCCAGCTCCATGCTTTGCTCCTCCCGCCACCTGATACCCTTCTCATCCCAGTGGCTCACGTCACATACCAATGTATTCACAAGGGCTCCCACGTTAGGGGGCATCTCCCTAGTCTGAATTGGCCCACCCCTTATGTGCCACTTGTCTTTTTAAAAATGTTGTCTTTATACACCTGTATTGTTTTTATTTTCATGATGAAGCTATCCGTTCCTGGAGATCTGGAGAGCCATGAAGTGTCTGCCTTGTCCCCTTCATGTTGGAATCCAGGACCATGCGGTTCCCCTAGAACTTCTGTCCCCCCTCATTTTACTTAGAGTTGCTCCCAAAGTATTATTAAAGCTTTTGGGAACCAAGGAAAAGAAATTGCACACTTGTTACTGGGTCATTCTTTTTTTTTCTTCAATTATATATATTTTCATGCTCTCATGTTCTTGGATACATTACCTGAAGGAAGACTCATGCGATGAAAGCTACTGGTTCACTGCGATGAGGAAGCGCTAACATCACTTGGAATAAAATGAAGGGAATCTGCTAGTTTGACAAATTGAGTTTTCTCTTTTGTCATGTAATTCTTCCTACACCCACCTACCTCAGCTATTCGCCCTTTTGGTTAATTCTCCACTGATGATTTCATTTGGTTATTTGCTGTCTATTTTTTCTCTTCTAGTTAACAGATATTTCTGCTTTCTTTTCCTCTGTTATCCAATTCTTCATTACAAAATTCTTCTATTCATTTATACAATCACTCATTTCTTTTACCAGGACTTAGTTACCCAAACTAAATGGACTTTGCAAACAATACAATCTTCATAAAATTCAACTTTAGAAACATAAAAAAATCCCAGTGGAACTTCCAAAGTTCTTAAGGAAAATCCTTCAATAGAATAAAAAAGGCTTATGTCTGATTCTTGATACCTGCTGAGCTCCCTGCACAGAAGTGGCATAACTGTATATATTTTAAGCCTTTGGTGAGCTCTGTGAGATGCAAAGGGCACAGTCTCCATAGCTTTGTGGCAATGCAAACAGAAAATAGCATAAGTACTCTGAGAGTAAAGGCCCATCAACTAAATTATCAAAAAAGGGCATTTTGGAATTCTTTCTCATTTAAATATCTGATCTCTTCCTCCCTCCTCCTCTACTTCCCCCTCCTTTTGTTTCATCACATTTGATTGGTCCCCTGTCCGCCTGAAGAAGCTTGTCTTTCTATTAAAATACAGCTACTGCCCGGCTGGGCGTGGCTCAGCGGTTGAGCGTTGACCTGGGATCCAGGCGATCGGGGTTCGATTCCCGGTGAGGGCACATGCCTGGGTTGCGGGCTCGATCAATGACTCTCTCATCATTGATGTTTCTATCCCTCTCTCTCCCTCTCCTTTCCTCTCTCTGAAATCAATAAAGATATATTTTAAAAATAAATAAATAAATAAAAATAAAATACAGCTACTAACACTTCTAAATTGACAGAGATAATAGTTGGTATCAGCCCCAGAGTTTCATTTTTAAAACTCATGACAGACTTACTGGACGACAAAGTTACTAAATCAAAATCACAATAAGAAACAAAAGCATGACTTGCTAACAAGTCAAGGATTTGCCCACGGGTGACAGAGGAGGTGTGGGGCCAGCAGAAGGCAGTGTTGGTCCCACACAGGGTGTCATGTTCCCACCTTGGTCAGCTGCTCTTTGAGCCCCGACATGGTTGCCAACATTTCATTCGCTGTTTCTTGGGAGCTCTCTTTGGTAATGAGGTGCGCCGTCTTGGTGATTATCTTGTACTGAGCATCCATCACAGGTATCCTCTGCTCGATGTCCTGCATGAGCCATTGAAACAGCTAAATTAACACCTGGCACATTCCTTTTAACTTCAGGATTCCACAGAAGGCCGGGCAAAAGCCGATATGCACAGTGGGACGTTCTATACTTACAATGAACTTCTGGAGATTACTGCTTTCTTTCATTACTAATATCTTATATGTTGGTAATAGCATATGGATAAATAAACGCTTTTTTTTCTTTTAAAGTAAGCAGAAATCCTTAAGTTTACATATGCTGAAGTAATCTTCACACTTTCAACATGTGTAAATATAGTATGTAAAAATTACATCAGCTAAATGCATGTTAACAAGTTGGGGAAATTCCTCTGAGTTGAAAATTAAAGTTATTTTCTTAAAAAAATAACACATTGTCATTGCAGAAAATTTATTAAATAGAGATGAAGTAGGATAAAGAAAATTTTAATTAAAGTCTCACACAGTGATCACCAGAGCCAGCCCATCATACATCATTAATATTGCTTCCTGTGTGCGTTTTACACCCATTTGTAATTTTTACCAAAAAAAAAAAATGCTATTTTTTGCTTTTCTCACTTGATACTACATTGGAAAATTTTTCCATGCCATTAAATACTCCTCCACTACTTCATTTTGAGAGCTGCAGGGTATTACAAATACTCAAGCAGCACAATTCATTTAGTAAATCCTATATTGCTGGAGACATTTATCTAGAAGTGTCATCTACAGGCTCCTGTTGCCCTCCAGTGCTTTATAATTTGATTGCAGGAAAAAAAATCTCCGAATTAAAAAATTATTTTGAAGTTACTTCATGGCCAAAACATCTTTCAAAAATTCAAATCGATTTTTTTATTTGAATACAATTTAAAAAACTCTTGAGGTACAAATGAGAATAGCACACACGTCAGAAGAGACACAGAAAGGCTTTGCGATGACTGGAGCCACTTCTCTGATCTTTATTTTCAGAGAGAACAGGTTTTCCACTTTACGGCCCAGAAAGCCCCCTCACCTCCAAGTCCTGAATTAATAACTTGACATTAATAAAAGAGACTTCCAAGGGTTCAGAAAGCTTCCTAAGGGCTTCAGTTGTGAAATCCGAAAGGGCGGCCACACAGTCTGTGTATTCTTTCTCCATTCTGTCCATCTCATCAGCTCGCGCATACTGGGAAGAGAAGGAAGGGGGACAACACTGGAGGTCACTGAGCCCAGGCTCCGGAGGCCTGGAACCTTCGCTCCATGTACTCTCTGGAAGCGCTATCTGGCAAGAAAGACCCCAATTCCTGAATCTTATTTAGATACACTCGCAGTCAAGTACCATGAAAGGAAGGAAGGAACTAGCACAGAGGTGAAGAGTTAGGATTTGAAACATGAATCGATCGGTCCCTACACGTAGGCCCCACATGGCGATACAATCCTCAGGCAAACTATACAGCTCCGTAATGTTCCCCCACTGTTAGGGGAAAGAATAAAGGGCCATGTAGAAATATAACACTTCTAAACACATCCGGGCTCTGCTTTAAGAAGCCCATGTTATAATAACAAAGTAGTCTCTAAACAGGCTGCTTAGCGCAACATTTCTAATACACGCATGTTTCAGGCATGCACAGGTTGGAAAGACATACTTGCTTGACTTCCATAAACAGCTCCCTCCATCGCCCATTGAGCAATAACAACTGCTGCTTGAGGTCACGGGAAACCACCTCATCACACGTTTCAATTAGAAAATTGCCGGCATCATTCATGGCAGTGTGTTGCTGTATCCAGTGAGGCAAATTTCGAAAAAAGTCCTAAACAATGAACAATGCATACTGTTGTGATCACAAGCCAAATTCAATAAAGAAAAGGAAAGCGAGCAGACTAAGAGAAGTATCTTTGTTCGAAATTTTGTGCAAATTTAAGGTAAATCCTAACTCAAAATGCCAATTTTTAATGAAGAGTTTCAAAAGTAGGAACTGGACATGCTGAGGGTATTTTTATAGGACCAGCTATGCCACGTCTTTTGCTGGAGACGAAACAAGCATGACCATTTGCTGTTACTCCTAGCTCACAGGTGAAAAGTTGCATCTCTGAGCGTAAAGGACTTGTGCCTTGTCTCCAGGTGAATAAATATCAGTACCAAAGTCATATGAAAGAGGTGCTACTATAGGAAAATACAGAACTTCCTCCAAAAAAATTGTAAACAAACCTTTGGCCTGTGCCTTTAGGTTTTAAAATCTGAATACAGTGTATTATCAAGATAATTACTAACCACGGAGATAAGCCATCAAAGGGAAATTTAAAAGTTAAATATCTGGGCCAGGAACACTGAATACAATAATATCGTCCTTTATTTGTTTAAGGTTACACCGCTGGCAAGGAAGCAGTTTCCACCTGATTTCAAGTTACATCTAAACGTGCAAATGTATGTACACACACCCCACGGTGAAAGCAGGGATAACAAGAGAAAATTCAGAATCCATTTCATAAGCTGCGTGTGGGAGTCCTCCCTCTAAAAATAGATGGGAACACTTCTGTTTCTGGCCGGGATGTTTCCTTGGATAAAATTAACACATATGACATCTGCTGGGGCATTGTGGTCTAATCAGAAAAGCCAAAATCTGTATGGCTGTAGAGTTTTTGGCACCATCAGCTACACTAGAATATTTAACCTAAATGAACTACCAAATGGTAAAACATCTAAAAAATTACACATCTACTTGTATAACACAATAATAGATGAAGCAATCCTGGATGGCAAGCAGTAATTCTAATGTATGCATTGTATTTCTTAAAGGAGTCTGGCATTTTAATAGCTTTTACATATAAATTGATTTTCCATGGGAAATGTCAGGCTCCCATTAAGAAGTATATACAAGGGTGGGCAAAAGTAGATTTAAATTACCAGCCATAATTACCTAAAAAAAAATCATAAGTAAGGATATGAAATAATGACAATAATAATAAGACAGATAATACAATAATTAATAAATGAATAATACAAGAAGAAACTCTGTTTCGTGTACTCACAAATGTAGATCTACTTTTGCCCACCCCTGTATATATAGAAATCAGTCCATTTCATGTTCTTTTTAAATGTAAGCGACGTTAAAAATAAGACAGTAACTTTTGCACATGCACATATACACCAGTAAGTGGAGGGGGGAAAATCACTCCTCCTGGGAATGAGACCCTTGACTGAGGGTTAATAAAATCCAAAAAAGAATATCCAAAGAGACAACACTGTAGCGACGCATCTGCGTAACCGGTGTAGGACATTACACAGGCTCAATAGTACTGTTAGCCAAAGCTGTTTTCATCTTAAATCAGGAAATCCACGGGGCTGGTGCCCTGGACATGGCCTTTCAAGTACAGACCTCGTGAGCACAGCGCCCCCTGCTGCCCGCTGGGTTTGGCCGCCCCTCCACCAGTTGCTGCTCTTCTGAACACAAAGTCAATCACTGACCTGACCAGACGGAACGGCTCTGAACATAACCTTCACAAAGAGGTGCGTTTCTTACTATAAAATAATTTACTAACCTGAAAGTGTAACTCTGCAGGAAACGTCAGAATTCTTGAGTCAAAGTTGTAAATATATAACACTCCCTAGAGAACTAGGCTGTAAATTCTCTTATTTTTAAAGGTACATGTGCTCTTTTCCTGCTGTAGGAAGCGCTCTCACCTTTTTGGCATGTTCTGATTGATTCAGCATTTTTTCAGCGTCCTCCAGCCAGGCCTGCAGAGTAGCCACAGTGCTGCCATATCGGTCCCAGTTAGCGATCACTTCCTCCAGCATGCTCCGCACGCTCCGCACTTCCACCGAGAGGTTCCTCCACTGGGCGGTGGTCTCGCTCATGAATTTCATCACGTTCTCGGCCTCTTCCACTGACACAAATAAAACACATGGCAATCTCTATTTTATGTTTTATATCCACCATACCTTTTTTTTCCTAGGGTCTGCTACACTGGTGTGCGTTTATATTTCTTTAGATGAGAAATTTAACAGATGCAATGTTAGAATTTTATTCAGTGACTGCTGAGAATGTTATATCTCATTCAGAGATATTTATAAAGGTTAAAGATTATAACGTATTTAAAGTTCCTGATAAGTGGAATGCAATAAATGACATACGTATTTGTGCGCATTTTATATACACTCAAGTAGGTGGACTCATATAGAGTGTCAAATGCTATTACAGTTAATTTTCAGCAAATATAACAGCCATTTACAAATTGAAACAAGAATATTTTACAACTTAGGTCTTTACACAAACTTAAGTTTTCATTTACTTTATGAAATATCCAAGTTAGTCCATTTTTTTTTGCTTTTAATCTTCAGAATTGAAAATAGGTTGGAAAATTGCAATTTAGAAAATTAATGTTTATTTTGCTCTCTCTTAGAAGATCTCACACACACACACACACACACACACACGGAGGAGTATGCTGATGCAGGCATTACACAAAGTCAGTGGGACTGAATCCAACATGTGCTCTCCAGGCCAATGGCATGGTCACAAAAGGATTCCACAGAGGGCGGGGGGAAAAAAAAAAGATTTGATAATACAGAAATTGGGAGGTTCTAAATTTTACTGTATTCAACAAATTCTGTGATGAGTTTTACCTGAACCATCGGCTTTGACGTACATCTCAGCTGTCTGCTTCAAGATCTGATATGTCACTTCATATTGTTCAAAGAACTTGCTATTTTCTATAAAAGCCTAGAAAAGGGGGAATGGTGAGAAGATAACAAAGACTGGCTTAGGTGGAAGTGACAAAGCCAATTTTCTTCAGTGTGCGAACATGCTGCCCAAATTTACCAACCTCCCTCTTCCTAAAAATATCAAATTAATTCAACTGCCATAAATAACTTAATTATCCTGAGAGGATAAAGTATTTTCACACTTTGAATTCTAACTAAACACTAGACTGGGGAAATATTCTATTTCCTCTCTATTCTATTCTCTGTTTTCAGAAGTTTCTCCAGAGAACCTGGGGCTAACATTTAGAAAGCACTAAATTTAGAAGAACATAATCAAGCGTCCCACTGGGTGTTCGCAGTGGAATTCTGTTGCTCTTTGAACTGTAATTCTGGTGAATGATGGCTCTCAGGAACTTCAGATTATAAATAAATGGCACATTGCGCACTTCCCTTAAAATAAAAAGTAAGTACAAAAATGTTTACAAGTAGAAAATGTTAAATAATTACACATTATGCCCATGTTATCCATGGTCTCAAAGTTCTATTTCCTAGTATAGAAATTACAGATTAGACATGTATGTATCAGTATATAATTTCCATATATAATGGAGTTGCTACCAGTAAATGGATACTATAAAACTGAGAACACACAACAAATCCTAGGTAAGCTTTATTATAGTTAAAGCCAACAAATATGAAATAGCTACTGTTTCAAAGACTATTCCTACTTCTCTAAAGTAGAAAATTGATGTAATTATAGGTAACAACATACCACCAAAAGCTCTTTAATTTCTTTTAATGGCATAATTAGTTCTTATGATTTGAACTCACTGAAATACTTGAAAACGCATTATTTAAAAACACAAAATTAGCCTTCAAAAACCAGCTGACGTCTTCAATAGCATGATGATGAAAGCTTAATATGGAGATGCAAAATGCTTGGGTGCAGATGGAAAACAACTCATATAGCAATTTCATAAACGTCCTTAGGTTTTATTGATAATCATGTATCATATTTCAATATAGCATTTAAAGATTACATATATAATACATTTCATATCATTTTATGTGCATAAAGCACTTACTTATATATTAACTACCCTTCAGGAAAATAGTGAAGAGAGATCGCTGTGAGCTTCTTAGAATGAGAGGTTCCGTGATGAGTACTTTATTCAGTAACTTTAATAGGCTCCATTATTTTTGTGTGAGAATACAGTAAGTCCACAGTAGTCTGGTTGATTCATTATTTAGCTCTGTGTGCTACTCTTTTAACCTCTCCCTACTCCCCAACTGGAGAAAAAGCCGTATTAGTCAACAGACATTTAAAGAAAAGTAAGACACCTCTCTATGCCACTAAATTCAAAGTCTTAGTGGAAAAGACTGTATTTCTACTCTCACAGGATAAATACAGATATAATAAATAAAAAGCTCATCAATTTCACTCAAAGGGAGCTAAATCAGATCATTTAAGATTTAAAAAATCAACTTTGAGGAATGGTTTCATCAGAATTGCCTATGTAAATTAATAAAATAATTATAATCGATAAAATAAATGTTCATATTACTTATGTTGATTTCACATAGTCCACAATTCCAAGAGCTCTTCTTTTATTTTATGCAAAAGAATGAAATGTTATCCCATTTCTTCCACAGTAAAACTGAAGCATGTGTTAACGAACATGGTTCTCTCCAGAACAATTATGAGAGCAAGAATGAAACCAATCACCTTCTGACGTCCACTACAGCCTGTAATCTCATCAGTAGCATGTGGCCTACATCCATCAACAAGCATCTATGAAGTATTTTCTAAGATTGTCTTAAGTACTTATCAGCTGGCACCAAGCACTTTGTACGAGAAGTAATAGAAAGCACATTCTCTAATTTTCTAACCTATAAAAAAAGTATCTTTTTTTTTTCAGTTGAATAAGATTAAATCAAGTCTGCTCCTGTTATGTTTGTTTATTCTGTTCTTTAGGTTTTGCATATGAGTGAAATCATATGGTATTTGTCTTTGTCTGTCTGACTTATTTCACTTAGCATAATACCCTCTAGAGGCATCCATGCTGTTGTAAATGGTCAGAGTTCATTCTTTTTTATGGCCGAGTAATATTCCATTGTGTATATGCCACAACTCTTTCTTCACCTGTCTATTGCTAGCCACCTGGGTCTCTTCCATATCTTGGCTATTATAAATAATGCTGCAATAACACTTACATGCAGATTTTAAGGAACAAAATAAATAAGCAAAGTCATAGACAGACTCATAGAAAGTGATTCTTGCCAGAGGAGAGTGAAGGTTGAGGAACTGGATGGAAAAGGTGAAGGGATTAAGAAATACAGACTGGCAGTTACAAAATAGCCACAAGGATGTAAAGTCCAGCAAAGGGAGTATAGTCAATAATATTGTAATGACTGTGTATGGGGCCAGGTGGGTACTGGAAATATCAGGGAGAACACTCTGAAAAGTACATGATAGTCTAACCACTGTGCTGGACACCTGAAACTAATATAAAATAATCCTGAAGGTCCAATGTTATTGAAAAATAAAATTTTTAAAAAGACTGAATTGAGAATTCAGACTAGGGCAAAGAGAATTATGAAAATTTTATATCCTGACTATTACTTTCGTTATTAGATGATGTGGCAGCAAATGGCTCATTACAATAAATATTTTTAGAAACAAAGGAAATGATTACATTTAAGAACCCAATTTATAATTTTATTTGAAAGTCTTCACACTCTATGAAATAGTCTGTTCTAAAGTGAGTGATTTTCCCGCAAACTTCAAAAGGGTGAGAGAGGCTCTATGGGGCGTGAGGTAGGAGGAAAACTGTGTGTGTCAGTCTTTGTGCCTTAGAAAATTCTTTTTATTATTATTATTCATTTAGGAAAGTGTAAGTCTTCTAGAAATTATGTTATTTATAAAGCTACATGGGTAGTAAGTAGCCGAGCCATGATTCAATACATTTTTGTGTGACTGGTGGCCAAAGCTTCCATAATGTCCCCCATATGACCTCACCCTGCCCCAAATCCATGCTGCCTGTAACAGAAATAATAGGAACTATCAGGCTACAGTATGAAAGTGTAAATATTGTCAATATGGACCAACATTAAATGGAACTAATATTTGCGTGAGTTACAATTCTCTATTTCTCTAAGCTACCAGAGATCACTTTAATGAGTTGGTCTTTGATGTTGAAAAATTCTTTTTCCACAGCTTTTTTTGTCAGATAGTAAAGTTTACTACCTAAGCACAAGGGCTTTTGAGTGGAAAAAACGTGAATTCAAATCCTGGCTCTATTCCATACCAACTGTGCCACCCGGAGCATGTGACTTAAGCATTCAGTCTTGGTACCCTCAGTAAACAACATGAAATGCCCAGCCCACAGGGTCATCACCGGGATGGAGGAAGGCACACGTAAAACCACGGGCACATGACAAATACTCAACCTTCCAAAATTATTCAAACTATCAAAAAATACCGTAGGCCATTTTCAGAAGAGAAGTGTGAGTGATAAGTAGGTATTTTTCCCAGGGGATAAGAGTATTAGGATGTGTTAATTGACACCTACTATGTTTGTAGAGTAACTAGAAATTTGGCAGATAACTTTGACTTAGGAAGCAATTTAACATGAGCAGTTTGGTGAACTTCTCTTTACTTTATGGAATATGCAGAAAGTACTGTTATTTTTTTTTTTAGTCATTAGTAACAACCCTCCACTCACAAATACCTTACTTGGTCAAAGAGAATTACTAAAATCATTGTGTTGGGACATTAACCTGGTGCAACATCCCCATTAGGCATTTCAATCTGATTGGCCATCCTTAAATAGCTGGAACAAAGACGGATCCCGAATAATTACCTACTGAGCTCAGAGTGTATAATTTAATATGACTAAGCCTGAAAATATAAATACATATCTGTATTTAATATTTAAAAGTCTGATGTAATTTCTTGAACTTAAAAAAAATGGATTTTTTTATTACTTTCCAAAGTAATTAAAAATGAATAAGGGAACATATACCAGATCTCATTTTTTTGACAATTGTTTCTGAGAAAATTATATTAAATCAAAAGGAAGATTCTACTACAAACCTGTTAAACCTTCCCCCCCCC